TAATCACAAAACACTGATATTTAGCAATTAAAAATGATGGTAGTGACAGCCAAGGGGATTGACTGTTAGGAGGTCAGGCATGTGTCCCCAAAGAAATGACATTTAAACTGAGAAAGAATGATGAAGAATTAGTCTGGTGAGAGTCAGAGACAGTGCAATGCCAACCTCGGTCATGAAAGGAAGAGACCAGCACTGATAGGTCACCGTTAATGACGTGTGTTGGGGCTGAAGTGGCAGACCYGATAGAGAGATCATGGGGGGACTTGAAAATCATGAAAGATTTTGCCCGTGCCACTGAGGGCAACTTAGAGGCCTTAAAAAAATTCAGTGAGGGGCTAAGATGTTCTTATTCATGTTTTCTTTTGTAATATATGTATTTTTTTCTGTAAAAAGGGCGAAATTTTCCCACTGTGCACAACTGTGGGTACGACAGCATGGTGATTTACATTCCTTCCATGTTACAGTTGGCTGATAGAAACGCTATGTCTCAATAAGGCCCGATGAGGGTGTGAAAGAGGATATAGTGTCCATGTGAGGACTAAATGCCAGGAACAGAAAAGGAGGAAGGGCTTCCGAGCCGCTTCTGCTTTGTGGTTGTGGCTGATCCCTTCCTACTCATGCATGTCTGGAGCTCAGGAGTGCCAGTTCACAGGCGATTGCTGCTCTGTCACTGTCATCTACCTCTCTGGGCACCCTGGTGCKTAGGCTCTATCTGCTTGGAGCCTTCACTCATATGTGATCTTTTGTAGAGATAACTCACTTTTCCGGACATTGCTGTCACCTCCTTGAGAATAATTACCATGGCCTTTATATCTCTCCTGGCCTTGAGAAGCTTTCTGTGTTTAATAACTATTTCCCTGTGTTAATACATCACGTTAGCATATGCAGTTACACATAAGCAGTGGTTTGTTGTGATGCTGTGTATTATTCACTGATGATTGAAAAATTATTCATACCCGCTCTGCCTGCTCTCCTGCACTTCAGTATTATGTCTCCTATTGTCTGCTGGACAGCTGACACCAGAATGTCACTACATCCTCAGACAGCCTGCCTAGAATTGAACTCATAATGTCTTTCTCAAGTCAACTGACCCCTGACCTCTCCTGCCTGTGCCAATAACATCAGCATTTCCTGTCTCCCAACTCCCAACGTTTGGAGTCACCTTTGACTGCTTTGTCTTATGCTCTCACCAAATCTAGTCACTAAGATCATTCCTGTTCACTTGGTGGAATGCCAGTATGCCGTTTGTTCTTCTCTTTCCTTATCCATGAACAGGCATCCTGCTCAACTCACAGTGGGATACTTCTTCCCCAACTCCTCCTAAATCGAGGCTCCTCTATCAGCACACTCAAGGACAAGGATGGTGGCCCTCTCTATGTGACACTCCATCAGCCTGTTTTATTTAGCAAAGGCTTTTCTGTATTATTTTTAGTAGTAGCACCTTTTTATTCCTTAGAGGCATACTATGCAAAACCGTGTTGAAGATGGAGTCTGATTGAAGATGGACTAAGAGAGGGCCCCTGACCAGCCCTCAGCTTTTAAAGCAAAAACTTGGAACTTAAAAGTTTATTGAGGTCATTTGGAAGCAGAGTTACAGAAGCAACAATTCAGAATGAGTCAATATTTTCTTCAAAATGTCTTTTTWAAAAAAAGTTTGTTGTTATCAATCTATGTGAATCTTCTAACCCAACGACACAAATTCATAAAAAAAAAAAATCTTAAATGCACAGTCAGTCCCCCATCCCTATCTGAGCTAATAATGTATTCCCTGACTGTAGTACCTGGAGCACCATCCAGGAAATGTTGCCAGTCAAAATTCTACTTTTCTCAGCCCTAATCCCATCCCTTTCTAAGGGATTTCTAAATCATTCCAGTTCTGGAGAGTTTTCTTTCTTCAGATTCCTATAATAGTTCTCTTTCTTACATTCACTCTGCKCTACCTTAAACTTTTGTCTTTTCAGGTGTGCACTCAATTTCTCCCACTTAGAAAATAGGCTCCATAAAGGAAAAAAAAAATCAAGTCTTTTGCCAGTTTTTATCCTCAGCATTCGGTATAATATGCTGCCCACAGCATTTGCTTAGATGGTGTATTTCGGTGCTAATCCACAGTAGGAAATAATAGCAATAGCCCACTGATTTCAGTTTCATTTAGTTAAGTATCCTGTCTGTGGAAACGTTCCTCCAGAGTAGTATTCATGTTAGGGGAACCAGTCACCATGACTTTAATTGTTAGCATTACTTTTTTTCTCCAATTATCCTTAAGTTTAAAGCTAGCTTCTTTGGCTGTCTTACTAAATAATGCTGGAAGTAGATTTGGGAAATGACAACAGATGGTTGCAAGTGGGGAGCTCTTAGTTTAGACCACAAATGATGTTTAGCCTATCCCTTAAATGTTCAGGAAAGGCATGCATAAATCATATTTAAAAGATTGTAGGAAACTTGCATTAATACATAAGTCAAATGGTGTCACTTTACTTTTTAAATGCCTTTTACACCCCTCAACATGGCCCTGTGTAGCCCAGCCCATCCCACTTCTCCATCCTTATTTCCCTGTCTGCTCCCCCTCCCTTGCCACACCCAGACCACAAAAGCAGGTTTTCAGTTCCCTGCTCTCAGGCTCCTTCTCTCCTCCTGGCATCCTCTGCCTGGACAGCCTTCCTGCTTCTTTCCTTGATCAAGTCTGTTGTATGTGGAGCTTTGGTCAGCTTGTCACTTCCTTAGAAGAATTCCTCTCTGATCTCCCAGAATAAATTGAGCTTCTGTGCTTCCAGATTCCTTATCATGACTCTAAATATAATAACTATGAAATAATGAAATAATTTGTTTCATGTCTGGGTTCTTCATGAGACTATAAGCTCTATCATGTCAGAAACTATCCAAATATGCACGGTATTTTCAGKGCCTAGAGTAAAGCTGGATGCATAATAAACGCTTGAATTAATGAATGAACATTTTATGAATAACTATCTTATAGAACTTTCAGAGGAAACCCTAATGTTATTCACATCTAGAAATTAATTTTTCTTGCTCCCCTGCCCCAAATGGGCCTGGGTAGCTTTCTCTCATTCATGTGATTCACATGCAACACACACAAACACACACACACACACACACATACACACACACACGTTTTATAAAGTAACTTCAGTTTTATGAGAATAAAGTCAAACTGACATGCTTTATACAACAAAATCTGCACTTGCTCCCAAATAGAATCCAGTTTAAATGACTGGATATAATTTAAAWTTTTTTTAAGTACCTCATTTATGCCTACTATCATGGATATCCCTATACTTCTTTTTGATGTTGTGTTATTTTGAAAATGGGTGCACTGGGGTAAAAAGTACAAGAAAGCAGTATCATAGCTATGAAATGTCCAAAAGTTGACATATTTTAGTGTGTGATTATCAGCAAAGTTAATGTGCTCTCATTCCCTAAAGGCTCCAGTAACCCCACTGAAATGTCCATGAACCGTTTCTCTGTCCTTTCAGTCTTGAGTGACCCTGCTGAGTCAGGCAACTGGAGAACAAATTAGAGCCCACTGCACAGGAGATTTTTCTGATGCAAAAAAATCTGACATTAAAGAACCTAAGCCATGAATAGCTTTCTGTCAGGATGCTAACAGTTCACCAGATTCACATGAAATGATCTAAGGTTCCACACACTTCTCACTCATTTGTTCTCCATTATTTTTGTCTTAAGTGGAATGGGCACAAGCCTCAAGTGCTTTGGTAATCCCTTTTCCAGGATAGGTGATTATTCAACTATAAGAAATGGAAGAAGAAACCTAATTCTGTAACAGCTTTYGAAAGCCCAGATACTTTTGCATTCTTCTTCACATACCCAGCTTTTCTCATGTTATCATCTTATAGCCTAYCAGACAAATAACAGCATGAATAAATGCCACATTTTGAGGGTTGATCACACACAAACACATACCCAACTCACAGCAGGAAGAAATCTACTAGGAAGACATCAAGTCTATCTCTATAGCAACTGACCTGCACACTGCTAAGTGATCATCGTAGGTGGCTGGAGGATTCTGAATAGCGTTATTCACCTGGAGCCCTGTATTGTCCATGGACTGGCTGCCTCCTGCAACTGCCAGTATTTCAGTGCTGGAATCCATTTCTGAAAATCCTTTCTTGATTGTTTCATTTTGCCTAAGACTGTGCAAGAGCTGAGAATCCCTGTGGTGGTAGCTAACTTTGTTTCTCTCATGGTTCCTTGAGGGTCTCTTCGTCTCAAAGAATCCTTCTTGGCACCTTAGGACTTTTCCTCTGCAGAGGTTTAAAGAGCAACTCTCACCTTCCTTTGGCTCCTGCTGCTTCTCACCTTTGGATCCCAGATCGACAAGCTCAATTCCATTAGGAGTGGAAGACGCAGCCGAGTTTCCACAGGGCTTATTATTATTTCTCCTTCTTCGTGACAGTCTGAACTTAACCTGGGCTCTCTTTTTTGTCTGAATCCAGTGATTCTCATCTGTGGAAGATGAGTCTGAAGAATCTGTGTAAAGTTCTCTCCATCTGGGGCTTGAGATCTGGAGGTGGAAGTCATTTTTCCCCCCTTTTATTTGTTCTTCTGGATGCTTGTATCTCTCTGAGGCCCTTCTCCTCCTCCTAGGCTTCTGTTTTACTGGTTTCTTACCACACTCCTTCCTAGCAGGACCCAGCACCATGACAGGGGTGCAGTGCTCAAATGCATCTTCTGACATGTCATGTAAGATGGAAGATCTGGACAAAGCAGCAGGCCAAGGATGGGAGATGGGAATGGAGAGGAAAGTGATGGAAAASACAGAGGGAAAGAAAAAGAATGATGAAAATGATAGCATGGCCAGAAGCTGGTAAATAAAGATCAAAAGGAGAAAATGAACTAGAGGGGAGAGGCGAACTAGAGGAAAACAAAGCAGAAGCAAGAGCTACACATTCTGATACTATAAAACAAAAACACAAAACACCKGTCTAAGCAATATTGAATAAGATTATTTGCTCAGCACTTACCTGCAAATGTCCTGAGTGGATGGACAGACAGACAACCTTGACTGGCTCCTGGGAGCTGCCCCTGTCGTTGGGCTGCTGGCCTGGAGAAACAAGTTAGATAATTTGGCATCTTGGTTAAGGTAATACATGGTCGATATCTTGCTTTTTTTCCACATATTTAAAAAATTACAACAAACGTGGCTGCCAGTCATGTTGCTCACAGTGCAGCTCACAGAATGCAGGAAGTTAGAGTCTCTTTTGCAAAAGTAAAACTCATTTTGAGGAACTTGGAACAGCTGATTTGCTGTACCACTCTGCTGTTGCTTCACACCATAGAGGAAGATGATTCCACAAGTTTCTATTCTATTTACTATAATCATTTGAGTGGACTAGCTCAATTTGCCTGGGAAACAAATAGGTAACAATGGGAGAGCCCATGAACCAAGGGAGTAAAATGCTATTATGTGATAAAGATGATAATAATMTGGGGAGCTGAAATAATCAAATAGCCATGAGATTGCTACATACTGCCTTGAGTTAACACTGAGGCCCCATGAGACAATATATTTGAAAACACTTTGTAATATTTAAAAGCCTGTGGTTGACCCAATTATCATTTCATCAGTGGAACTAATAAAATCATTCCATTGCAACAGTATTGACCTTTCATATGTTTTTAACCCTGTGACATATTGAGCTTGAGAATGAGAGCCTGAAATAATTCAGGTTATTATCACAAAGTTGAATACATTTCACTACATTTTCTACCTTTGAAATACAGCATTCTCTTTATTTGACTTCTTTAAGCTATTATTTTTAACACAGAAGATGACGATAAATGGAAAGCAAGAGTGTACTGGTAATTTACCCTGTGCATTGTGTTGTTTTCTGTTGTGGTGTTATCTACCATTTCTAATTCTTACAATAACTTCACAATGAGAAATAATAAATTATAGTTTTTAGTAAATATTTATGCCAGTCATTATTTTAAGCCATTTCCACATATTCAATTAATATAGTAAAGGCATGTAGTAAATACTGAAATTATTTGTATATTGCAGTTGAGGAAACTGAGAAATTAGGGCAGATTTTCACTCGTAGGTGGTGGAGCAGAGATTTTGGACCAGGAATCTGATTCTGCCATCTGTTCTCTTATCCAGCAAGATAGCTTCTCCCCCTCCACACATGAGGAAACCAAGTGAGTTACCAGTCTAGATTCAGGCCTATCTGACTGCATAGATGAGATAAACAGCTAAGTCACCAGGATAGTAAGAATAAGAGTAAAAAGATTAACCCAAATTTCACAGAAGCTCTAAAAATTCTCACATTAGAAATATGGGAATCATCTCATGCTGAGAATTGTGGGATCCAGAGAGAAAGAGAAATTAATTCTTACTCAAAACATTAGAAAAACATGGGAAGAGGAGGCTGAATATCAGTCCTTCAAAGATGTCCACATCCTAATCTCTGGACCTTGTAGACAAGTTTCCATACATGGCAAAAAGGACTTTACATATGTAGTTAAGAATTTTGAAATGGGAAATTTATCCTGAGCTATCCTGGTAGGCTCAATATAATCATGAGGATCCTAATAAAAAGGAGACAATGGAATTAAGTCAGATGGCAAAAACAAAGGATAGAGGAGTAGAGGTCAGAGAGAAGGAAATATGCCACACGGATGATGGCTTGAAGGGAAAGGGACAAGGCCTGAAGTGAAGGACTGCCAATGGTCTGTGGATACTGGGAAAACGTTAGAAAAGAGTCCTCCCCTTGAGCCTGAAGAAGGAATCCAGCCCTGCAGACACCTTCATTTTAGCCCCATGGAGCCCATGTTTGGCTTCCAACCTCCAGAACTCTAAGATAATAAATTTTTGTTGTTCACAGTCAGCAAGTCTGCAGCCATACATTACACAGTTATTGGAAAGTAATATAGGGTGAGACACTTTAGCTAATCTTCAAAGGCAAACCAGACAAGACTCAAAACCACAAATAGCACCATATTTCTCTGGCATTCAGAAATCTCTCACAAATCAATAAAGAAAGGCCAATTGATCTCATAGAAAAATGAGTGAAACACACAGATAGGTAGTTCACAGAAAAGGAAATACAAAGGATCAAAATTCATATGTAAAAAGATGTCCAATTTTAAATAAGTGAACAGATGCAAATTTAGTTAATAATGGGTGTCCACTTCCATTTAGCAAATGAGCACATTCAAAAAAGATTGCTAATACCCACCTAGTGTCACTGAGGTGTGGAAACCAATCATTTTCATATATTGTTGAAGTAATTGTAAGTTTTCACTTACTTGGAGGACAATTTGGTAAACATTTTGGTAGGAGGGACTGGGGATTGAATCTAGGGGCACTTAACCACTGAGCCACATCTCCAACCCTTTTTTAATATTTTATTTAGAGACAGAGTCTCACTGAGTTGTTTAGGGCCTCACTAAATTGTTTCACAGGGCTTTGAATTTGTAATCCTCCTGCCTCAGTTTCCCGAGTCACTGGAATTATAGGCATGCACCACTGTGCCCGGCTGTAGAATATATGTTTAAGAGAAAAATTAAGTTTCAAAATTGCATACAGTGTGATCTTATTAAGGGAAATAGTGTTTTATTGATGTCTTTGCATATGACACAAAAAGCTTAGAGGTGTTCACAGCCAATCATTGACAGTAATTATCTTTATGACTTAGGATTACAGAAAGTCTTCAGTTTTCAAATGATCTGTTTCTATATCTAATCTTAATAATAGGAGGCTCATTTTAAAAATCATGTTTAGAATGTTGTAAATGGTGGCTATTAATATCAGGAATAAAGATTTGTGTTTGTCTCCAGTGATTACTTAACCTCTTTGAGCTCCACATCACCTTTCAACTAAATACAGAATAGTAACACATGCTCGAAAGGATTGGTAAGATGATAACATGAATTTGTGGGTCTGTGTTGTAGAATGTTTTAGGTTAATAACAGCACATTAAGCTTGAAATATTAAAATTCTTTTTATGCATTCCTCATAAATCATGGACATGGACACGTGGACTCAATGGTATTTCCCTGAGGGAAAGACATGTGACAGCCGTAGGTCAGTGACTCTCAATCCTGGCTAAACAATTGAATTGCTGGGAATTTTAAAAAAAATATCTTTCCCTGAGCCTGATTCTAGAATCTTTTAGGACTGGGATCTGGACACAAAACCTGGACATCACTATTCTTAAAAACTGCCCTAGTTACTATAATGTGCATCCAGAATTACGAACTTCTGGCTTTAGTCAAAAGAGACACAGCTTTGCTTTTAAAATGTCACATTAGATGTTTTTCTGAGACTCCAGTGAGATAATATTGAAAGTTTGATTTTTTTTTGAGAGAGAGAGAATTTGGGAATATTCTCATCCTTGGATCTCATTTTCATATAGCTAGAAGAGATCCTGGAATTCTAGACACAGCTTTACTGTAACCCTAGTCTAAGGAGAGAGAAGGAATGACCCAGGGAAAATTCTAGTGTGCAGGAAGTAAAATCACAGTCTTTCTGCTGAAGAGCAAGTCAGGGGAAAAAGAACAAGGGGTGAATCCCACTATCTCCATCGCCCATTTATCCACGGTGGGTTGAACCTAGGCTGAGAAGAGAGGCAGGGGTAGGGCAAGGTATGTGGAAGACTCATCAGGATATTCCTGGGGGAAGCCAAAGCACAGCCTTGCTCTTCAAGCCTGTTCCTTTCAGTTCAGCTTTTCAGCCAGCAAGAGCAGTGCCTCTTGTGCACCTTTGTGGGAAGGTACAAGGGACAGAAGAGGATAGACGGGAGGGGGCGGGGAGAGTGAGGAAATCCAGACATCATCAGTGCTTTCTTGGGCATGTGAAAGCTAGCTGCAACTGCTCACCAGGGAGGGCAAGTAGGGTCCACCAGAGTAAAGTGAATGTGACTTCCTAACAGTAGGACACAGGGAAGACTGCCCAGTCAAGAAGCCTGGCATTGCCTGGGAAAGCTGAAATAGGTGGGAGGCCAGAGCCTTGCTCAACTGTATTTGGAAAGTTGGCCACCAGCTCCCAGGCCAGGAGCATTTTACAACAGATCTGGTAAATCCAGAGGACAGAATCTGCACAGAGGCCTCTGCTCCGTGTGTACTCAGGAAATGGAAAGGGCAGGGTGAGAAATGCTGCAAAACCGAATGCAATTAAACTCTGAAGCCATAGTGACTGGAGTCATTTTTATTTTTCTCTTTTTAAATTAAACATTTCCCACATCAGCAATAATGGAAGTTCAAGAAAAAAAAATACTAAATGCCAAAGGCAGGGTGGCATTCATAAAAACCCCTGCACCATGACCTGAGGACAACATCTAGATATAGAGGAAAATGATTTTGAAGTGAAATCTATAATCCTATGGAATGAAAGTGGTATATGCAGGAAAAAGTGGAAGAGAATGGCAGAGMAAGTCATCTGAATGCCCCTTTTGACACACCAAGGTTTGGAAGGAGTTGAACATGGTTTCAAAAGAGGAAAATCAATTTTTGGCAATTCTCACCATTAGGAGAGTGGCTTGGAGCAGGGCTAGGTTCTTCAGCAGGTTAAAAAAATAAGGCACAACTAATAATGGGGAATCTAGCTGGCCTGGAGAGGCCCCAGAGAGCTAGTAGATGGCGCTATGTTGGTGTGCAGAGAACAAACTCAGCCTGGATATATTTCCTGTTGAAACCCAGCATTGAAAAGCGAGACAGAATAATTATTGTCAGCAGGGAAGGCATGGCAGAAAATTTAGTTTGAAACACCCGACCATGTCACCTCCTGTTTTTCAACAGAAACAGGTATTTGCTTCTATTAATATAAACCAGGTCCAAGATAAGCTTTGTCGATAGTTCAGATTGAACCATTGTGGCCAGAAAATCATAAGACTAGTTCTGAGAGCAAGGATTGTCTTCCTGGGTAATGACGAGGGAACATTCTGTGAAATAGAAGAGGTTGGTTCATAGCACCTAGGCTGCTAAGTAACACATAGACTTCCTGTGAGCTAGATTGAGAGACAGAAGATACCCAGGTATCCAGGGTCACATCCTTTCAGTACACTTCTCATGACACCTGAGGTTCTAGTGAAGAGTTCCTTA